CCTGAGATCTCCGTCAAGGAGACAAGATCGGTTTCGGTGCTCATGTCTAAGGTGTAATAGTTTTGTGAGGCCCCGACTTCTAAGTACCAGGCGAGCCGGTGTGCCACGCCACGACACAAGACAACATTATCATATGTCCATTGTAGCAACGAGAAGCGCCCCTCGAGATTCCTGACATTTTCTGGGCATCGAGGCTATAGTACGTTTTTTGTTTTTTTATCAGCAAGGCATCGAGGCTATAGTACGTTTTTTTTGAGATCCAGATTTTTTTAACACAATATAGATGCAAGCGCTCATACATACGCACATACACTCATTCCTATGAAAGCGCATCGTCGGCGGGAGCGTCTCCTCTCACTCAAATCGCATCGCCGAAAATCATCAAAGGTGGGAACGTCTCCTATCATCTTGAGATTTACGAAATCACCGTAGGCGTCTCGTCATCGACGGGAACGTCTCCACCCACTGAAAGCGCATCGCCGGAAATCCTGAAATAAATCCAAAAATAATGCGAGCACCGGGACTTGAACGATGATGGGCTGGGGATACTACTATCCCTCTAACCATCCAACTCGCGAGATCCGGCTATAGTAGGTCAGCTGCATACATTGTTGAGAAAATCGTTAACTGGTAGCTGCTCGGTCGGCTGGTGAGTAGGGGATTAATAGGCTAATCGGCAAGTTAATCATCCATTTAGTCAATTAATCAATCGGACGATTTATCAGGTAATCGACTACTCGGAGACCCTATGAATAGGGATTAATCGGCAAGTTAACTGGTTAATCAGATGAATTCTTGAACAGGGACTGCATATAATGTGAGTGGGTCCCGTCTTGTGCCTTGACTCGTCTTCCCTGTCGTATACAGGTGAGGTTGGCCCAGGTGCAGCCCAAAGCCCTACCTGATGTAGAAACTCGGACGCGTCATCCAGCACACGGCCATCATGATTTTTCAGAAAAAAAATTGGAGCTGGATTTCTCACTTTTTTTGAGATCCAATGAGTAACAAGCTACTCAATGGGTAGGATTACACTCAGCTAGAAACAGATCTTTAAGATTCTCCAGGACTGACCCAGCTAGAGCATGGTTGCCTGTTGTTCTCGCTAGGAAAGCTAGCTCATGAGCCAGTTTGTTGAGCTTCCTCCCAACCACACTAATATGGTAATCAGCAAAATGTTCCAGTGTTTGCCTGATGTCCGTCAGTATGGGGTAGCATTTTGAAATTCCAACTGTGGTGCTTCTCAGCTCTCTACCAACTGAAGCGTTCTCAGTCTCCAATATGATTCTTCTATTGTATCTCTTTGCAAGTTCCTTCAGACCACAAAGGATAGCTCCTGCCTCAGCCTCCTCTACTGAGCTGCATTTTTTCAGGTGTTGGCAAACTGAGAAAAAGACCAGACCCTGGGGGTCGCGGGCCACAACACCGCCCCAGCTGTCACCTGTGTCTGCTAAAAAGGCTGCATCCGAATTTAGCTTTGCCCACCCAGGGGCCGGCGGAGACCAGTGCTTGGGAGAGGCACCAAGGCTGTGTCCAGCCCGGTCATTCTCTGCTTTCCCCCCTGCTTCAATTTCAGTGACTGTCTGGGCCTCCAAAAATTCAGTTTCATATCTGACTAGAAGACGCATCGATCCAGTCACAGTCTCCTTCCCAGAATCGTGAATCACATTGTTACGCAGATTCCATGCCTGCCAACACATAAGTAGGATCCTCCGTTTGGTTGCCTCGCTTTGCGTGCCCAGCAGCATTTGAAACCAAAGATCTCCACTATCCCTAAAGGCTTCTTCTTTTGGTAAATCCCAGACCGACCTTAGTTCATGCCTCAAGGCCCTGCTTCTTGTGCAAGCGATGCGAGCGTGATACTCATCCTCTACTCCATTCCCGCAAAGATCACAGGTATTATCGATGGCAATTGTACGCCTAAAAGCATTATGCTTAGTGGCCAATGACTGTGTGGCTGCACGCCATCCGAACACCTTAATCTTTTGAGGGACTTTTGCCTTCCAAATGATGTCCCATATGCATCTATCTCCTACCTCATTTGCCGAAGAGGAAGCTCCAGTATTGTAGTTCCGGCTGATTCTGTAAGCCAGTTTATGTGCACTTTTGACCGTGAAAATACCAGTATTCTCATAGTGCCAGGCTATCACATCCTCCACCTCACGACCTGGGATTCTTATTTTCTCAATCTCTTCCGCATCAAATTTGTTGAATATTTGGTCTATCAGTTCCATGTTCCAGTCCCTGGAGTCCTCCATCATCAGTTGGTTTCCCACCTGATTCTTGACCGTCTTATAAACCCCGCGGTTTTACATCCTTCCTTCCAAGGTATCCAATTATCTCTCTGGATTTGGATGCTCTTCCCGTCTCCCACTCGCCAGATTAAGCTTCCTTTAGAAGCTCTAGCCCAAACTCAATACCTCTCTAGGACGGCGAGGCATCGGCGATGCACTCTTGCGCATAGGCTGTCTGGTTGTTGAATAAGCCTCCAACACTGACGGGCCAGGAGAGCTTGATTAAAGCATTTCATGTCTCGAAAACCAATGCCTCCATCTCTCTTGTGCTTGGTCATATTTTCCCAGGACATCCAATGAACTTTCCGGTGGTCAAACTTGTCTCCCCACCAAAAATCTTTGATCAATTTCTCATACTTGTCACAAAACCCTGTATTAAGTTTGAAGACCCCCATAACAAAGGATGTGAGTGATTGCAGCACTGACTTGACATTCACCTCCTTTGCCGGTTGGGACATGAACCTCTCATTCCAATTATTGCACTATTTTCCAAATCGGTCCATGATGGGCTGAAACTTTTCATTTTTCATTCTGCCATCTGGGGTAGGAAGGCCTAGGTATTTACTTTCAAAGGTATCTTCTTCCACTCCTAGAATATCCTTTATCCCATTTTAGACTTCCGTCGGGCACACCTCACTGACAAGGAGAGAGCATTTGCTTTGGCTCAACAATTGCCCCGTACCCTTTTGGAACAGGGTGAGGGCGTCTTTTAACTTTCCTAGCCTGATCCGTTGAAGCTTTGAATAATAACAGACTATCATCGGCGAAAAGAAGGTTAGATATGCCCGGGCTGCTCCGAGCCACTTTTAAGGGGGTTATATTACCTTCTTCAACTTCTTTCTTGAGCAGACTCGCGAGCCCATCAGCGACGAACAAAAACAAGTATGGACTCAGGGGGTCCCCTTGTCTTAGGCCTCGTGAGGGGGTAATAGGCTCAAGAAGCACCCCATTGCACCTAACAGTGTATTTCACTGACTTAACGCATGTCATGACCCATCCTATCCATCTCTGGTCGAATCCTATCTTGTGGAGGGCTCCTTCCAAAAATCCCAAGTCCACTCGGTCGTAGGCTTTTGCTAGGTCGAGCTTATATGCACAATAGTTATCTCTCTGGTTTTTGCTATGCTGGATCTTATGGAAGCATTCAAACGCGATGAGCGCGTTATCCGTGATCATTCTCCCTGGGATGAAAGCACTTTGGGTTTCTGAAATTAGCTCATCTAACATGGGTCGGACCTGGTTCACTAAAATCTTTGAGATAACCTTGTAGATTACATTACAAAGACTGATTGGGAGATAATCTTTTATACTTTCTGGATCCGCTCCCTTTGAAATCAGCACAATTACTGTCTCATTTACCCCTTCCAGCATGATCCCATCTTCAAAGAATTTTATTACTGTATCAGTAACCTCATCCTTCATTACTCCCCAATTCCGTTGGAAAAAGCGTGCTGGAAAGCCATCCGGCCCTGGGGCCTTGAGGGGACCAATTTGAAACAGTGCATCCCCAGCCTCCTCTGGTGTCACCGGTTTGGTTAACGCCATGTTCATGGAATCATCCACTCTCGAGGGAAAGAGGTTCAGCAGCTCCTGTGGTTTGACATCCTCATCCTTACAGTACAAGTCCGTGAAAAATCCATTTATCTCAGATTGTATGTCTTCGGCCTTCTCAATCCAACGCCCATCACTTTTCTTCAGCTTTGATATTTTATTCTTTTTCCTTCTCCACATTGATTTCCTATGAAAAAAATTCAGTGTTTGAATCCCCTTCTTTCAGCCACATGATTCTCGACCTCTG